ATATTACATTTTTTAGTGAATAGGGCCGATATTATCGGACATCCCTAGTTTTGAGAGGAAACATTGTAATCAAGGAGCACAACAATGTGTAGAACATGGCACTCCCACTTTGGTTCCCAAGAAGAAACTGCTATCTTTTTGGTTCAAACGTTTTGGGTTCCAAACCACTTTCTTAATAAAACTATTCTATCTCTTAGTGCCATTTCAGAAGTATGGAGTATATTTTCATGATTATCATGATGGCTGAGATATTTATGACATGAAATTTTAATATCGTCCCCTGCCTACCATAGAATGAGCTGTTTTTAAGCTGTTTTTATCTACAGACTCTGTTGGTCGCCTTCCATGGAGTCCTCCATGTTGAACCGCCATGTTTCTGTGGATAGGCCCTTTCACATTTTCCGCAAGTTTTGTGGCTACAGTAGTTACCCCTACACACTTCTCATTCCCAGGTTGTCAAATACAGATGCTAGCCATGTTTAGTTAGCTGCCACTTCACTGCAAGATGCCAGTAAATCACACACTGGTGGTCCTTGAACTATTTCAGTGTTACTGTGGGATTTCATGAAGTGATTTGCATTTGGCAGCACCTTCTCTAACACAAAGTATACATTTTGTGTGGAAAAATGCAGCTTTTAATTGGATATCACCAAAATAAAAGCTTCAGTAAAGTTCAACTCAGTTAAAAGTTTAAAAGGTGCCAGTTGTAAAGTGGATATTATGAAAAGGTGTAAAGCATTCCATATCTACATATTCATGGCGAGCTGGGCCTTTGGCTGTATTATTACTTTGGGATGCTAATAACCACATATCAGTCCCGCTTTCTTGACCAGAGCCTCCTCTTATCACTACTATAAATGATTGCTTATTTAATTTGGCTGAAGGCATCACAGCAGAAGGCAAAGACTTTGTTTGCTCTCAAAATCGAAACGTTTTTTCCCCGGCCAACATGAAGTGATTCGTTGTTTAAGGTCAATTCTCTTGATCTGGCAGGGAATCAAAAATGACAAAGCAATTTAAAACTGATGCACAGAAGAAGACGTGTGGCTGAAACAGAATTTTAAAAACAACTCTGCTATTAGGGCATTAAGCTGCGCTCTTTTCTCTCTAACTCTTGCTTTTGTACTGTTCACAAGTCACTCATTTTCCCCAAAAAAGTAGGCCAGAGATTAGAGCGTAACGGACACACGTCTTATCTCTGAAGGTAAACATGGCACCGGGCTGGGGGTAGATTGTACAACAACTCCAGCAGACAACTGCTCATGCACACTTACACACAGCTCTCCCCTCGTGATTGGTCACTTCTCATGGCTGGGACCGTTGTCCTCAGCGCTGGCGGACAGTGATGTCAGTGGCTTGGAGACATCAACAAAGAGTGAAAGAAAGTGTGTGTGTGTGTGTGTGAGAGAGAGAGATTTACGGACAGAATCTTAGACCTTGCTCTCCCATCGCCAAGTGTCACTACAGTGTTTACTCCGTTCCTCCCTCTCCTTATCTCTTCTCTGTTCCATCCTCATCCATCTTTTCACATTCAGAGTTGATGGATTTATAAAACTCTTTTTCCCCTCTGTCATTTCCTCTTTAGTCCACATTATCTTTACCTCTGTTTGGAGAGTGGAAAGCGCCCTTTCCTGGTGTGTTTTCTCAACATAGTGCAACTCTTTTTCCGTGCCCTTTTCTCTACAGTCTGGTTACATTTATTTATGTTGGTCCAGATGGTTGGTGGATGGACCCGTCACCGTAAATTTCGTGAAACACAAGGCGCTCGCTTCCTGCTACCGCTTGGCTCGGCTGGTAGCCTTCTGCCGGGACGCTTTCTGTCCAAACTTAATTCCCCTGCTTGTTCACAGGGTTCAAAGGGAGCCCCCTCTCCTCAATCTTCCAGCGCTGTCTTTGACTGCCCTGGAAGCCACCACTTCCACTGAGCGGATGAGCAGATGGCGCCCTGGCACTAGCTTTTACTGGACCGATAGTTGTCTCTTTGTTTTTACTCCTTAGTTACTTCTTTTCGACTCGTCTTTAAAATGTCTGCTGTTTGGGTGTGTGTATATATATAGGGATCTGAGAGGAGGAGGAGGAGGAGTTGGACTGAGGTTTTGCTTATTTTTCTACTGAGCGCTATATTCATATGTCTGGCTACACAGACCACTGCTGGCCCCCTATCGCCATAAAGGCCAAATGGAGGGTAAGGTCACGGAATACTGGCTGCTGATCAAAGTTTAACATTGGCAAGTCTTTAAATGTTACTTTTCATCCACAATTTATAAGATTTTTGGAGTGATAATTAAAAATAAAAAAGATGGCTAATTGGACATTCTGATGACACTTTCTGATGCTATATGACAAGATACGTTACATGTACTGTATTCTCTAATTGGTCATTGTGCTCAAAAAATGAGAGAAAATAATATATATGTAACGTATCATCTTGAAGTAATGTCACAGTTGAATTTCACTTCTGCTTATCTGGTTTATCACATACTGATTCACATTCTTGTCAGTTTTTTGAGGAAATAACCCCAAATATATTAAATACAAACACAAATCACATTTCATTTCACCAGATGTTGGGCTTGAACTAGGGATGTCAAGTTTTACTATAGGGTCTTTTAATAATGAGTGTATGCCATTACCGTGTTCTGACACTATAATAACAGCTGTAGCCTGCTTTATCTGACACGACTTTCACAAGCTTCTTGATAAAAAGGCTGGACATCTTGGTTAAAGAATATTAAGTTGATAGTCTTGAGTTGTTATGGAAAGTCTAACTGGTAGAATGTGAATTTAAGGTGATGGGTTTAGGGGTTTAGGGTCACCTAGAGCGTTTAATTGGAGAAAATGTGTCACTCTGTTGGAGCACACAAAACAGACAACAGACTAGTTTCATTTTGGCCCGTTATCAACTTACTCACAGAATTAATACTAATTAGTGACAGCTGATATGATCTGATCACACTTTCATTCTCACTCTCTGTAGAGCTCTGCTGTGATTAAGGGCGCAGGTTGTGATGGACAACACACAGTAGAGTTCAGTTCAGTAAAGAAAGAATTGGATCTGCTTCATTTTAACATACACCAATACATTAAATATGGCCATGTCAGCTCTGATACAGGCTGGCTCAGGACTTCTCTACCAAAAAATCATTCATCATAAATGATGAGGTCTTAATGATGAGATGATCCGTTTTGCTTAAAAAGTCAAATACAGACACTATAATACAAGTATTCTCTGTTGCCATTAAGACTGCACGATTATTGTTATTATTGATTAATCTGCCAATAATGTTTCCAATTTGTCTTGGTCTATGAAATGTACAAAAAGAGTGAAAACTGTCCATCACAACAGTCTAAAATCAGATATAAAAGAGAAAAGCAGCACACTGAGAGGCAGCAACCAAAATGTTTTTGCTTTAAAAATGACTTGAAAAAAAAAGATCAGTAATTAAAATAGTTGCCAATTTCTTTCTGTCAATTGACTAATCAGTTAATAGACCCATAGTTTTAGCAATAGTTTAAATGCACAACTTGTACAGTTTTACTCTTGCTCTTCTTTACTCTTTACGTATTGTGTGTGCAACCTGCGCATACGAAATCTTACGTTAATATTCTTTAAGCGGTGGTAGCTATGTAACGATGGTGTTGTGAAAGGTGCAACAATTCAGCAGCAGTCACTTTGTTATAACACAGGAATGTGGTTTTGTAAGGCTGTGATTACCCCACAGTTCTGTGTACCCCCTGAATGGGGAGCCTTTGTGTGTTTGTGTGTGGGTGGATGTGAGAGAGAACGAGTGTGTCGCTCCATGTGTGTGTGTGTGTGTGTGTGTGTGTGTGTGCCGCGCGCCCTTTTCCCAGGGGTTGTGTGGCTAATGTGTGCTGTAGCGTGTAAGTGGAAACTAAATGGAAAGAAAATGTGAA